GAGAAGAGAAGAGAAGAGAAGAGAAGAGAAGAGAAGAGAAGAGAAGAGAAGAGAAGAGAAGAGAAGAGAAGAGAAGAGAAGAGAAGAGAAGAGAAGAGAAGAGAAGAGAAGAGAAGAGAAGAGAAGAGAAGAGAAGAGAAGAGAAGAGAAGAGAAGAGAAGAGAAGAGAAGAGAAGAGAAGAGAAGAGAAGAGAAGAGAAGAGAAGAGAAGAGAAGAGAAGAGAAGAGAAGAGAAGAGAAGAGAAGAGAAGAGAAGAGAAGAGAAGAGAAGAGAAGAGAAGAGAAGAGAAGAGAAGAGAAGAGAAGAGAAGAGAAGAGAAGAGAAGAGAAGGGGAAGGAATTGGGATAGAATAGAAAAGAATAGAGTAATAGAACAAAAAAGCACACAAAAAATACAAACTACATGACAAAAGAAAAAAAAATAATCTCATAATTAAACCCCCTAATTCCATAATTTGGGGAATTCCGACATGTAATTTTGACCTGTGATTCCACCCTGGATCCTAGGGATCGACACTTCACCGTCAAAGCCTGGAGGATGCTCCAAGCCATGATGGTTTCAAGGGCAGCTCCACGGGGAGCCCTGCACTCTGCCTGTTCTGGGACCAGCCCTGCGGGACCTCCGCGCACCCAACAGACCTGCAGACAGCTTCTGTTCCTCAGCGATCTGCTCCAGTCGGCCCAGCAGAGCATCAATGTTGGATTTTATCTGTGTCAGCTCCGTTTTGATTGTTTGCAGCTCACTGCACTTCACTTGGAGGAAGGAAGGGAGGGGAAAAAAAAGCGTTTAGTGTCTCATGGTGCCTGGCTCACCCCTCTGCCTGGCCCACATCAACTAGAAACACCACACTAGGAACATACTCCCTGCATACCCAGGTTTAACATGCGGTGATGCTCACACCTTCCATCAATGCACTCTCCTCCACCACTGGCCCTCACTGGCCTCCTGCCTGTTATGGCACTGGCAGGGAAAGCCAGGGAGCTGTGGGTGGTTGTTAGCACCCAAAAAAGCCTGTGCGTCCAATGTCCAGGCATGTAGTGGAAGTTGACGCCAGGCTTTGGAATGCTCAGGATGTCCTACCCCTCGAGAGGACAAGGGGGGAAGGGTTTTAAACTGAAAGAGGGGAGATTGAGATGAGATGTGGGGAAGAACTTCTTTGGTGTGAGGGTGGTGAGAGCCTGGCCCAGGTTGCCCAGAGAAGCTGTGGCTGCCCCATCCCTGGAGGGGTTCAAGGCCAGGTTGGAGGGGGCTTGGAGCAACGTGGTGTGGTGGGAGGTGTCCCTGCCCAGGGCAGGGGGTTGGAATTCAATGATCTTTAAGGTCCCTTCCAACCCAAACCATTCTGTGAATCTACGATTCTTGCACCTTCCTCTGCTGCATTCACAGCCTCCTGGGTTATGAAAGGCTTGGGCTGTTGTTTCAAGATGTTTTTGGTTTTTTTTAAGGTTTTCCCTGGGAGCATCTGGCTGAATACCTGGGGACAGGAGCTCCATGCACACCCCCCCCCCCCCCCCCCCCCACATACTCACGCTTCAACTTGGCCGAGCTGTTGGCGATGGCGGCCGATCTGGCGAAGAGCTTGACGGGGAGCGTTGCCTTCACGCGCCGGACCAAGGGGATGGTGACCCGCGGCCGCTTCACAGGAACCACCCTGGGCACCGGAGAGACCCGGCCCCGGTACTCGAAGAGCCTGCAGGGGGGAGGAAAGGATGGGGGATGTGAAGCAGCACCCCCAGCCCTGCTGAGCTGGCAACGGGGTGTCAGAACCCAAGCAGGGCTGGGTGTGCACCAGGGAACAGCCTGGCCATCCGACCCCACCACCCTGGGATGGACCACCCTGCACCCCACCTCGCTCCCCACAGCAGCCCCCGCGCCGCAGGGAGGGTCTTGCCCCATAGAAAAGCCCTTTGGCTGATGCCCCCCCTTCTCACCTGTCGTAGAAGTCGTCTCTGTAATAGTCATAGTCGAAGTCGTAGCCGCTGCAGAGACAGAGTCAGGAGGGCAGGGGTTAATGAGTGCTGGCAATTTATTATTATTAATTCCTCATCACCTGCTGAGCCTCCCCCATCCTTCATTTATTTATTCCCCCTGGACTTCCACCTGGCAGGATGTGCACACTCGGCCTCCTGGCCCCAAGGGTCTGCAGAGAGATGGGATGAGCCCGGGAGAAAAGACCTGGGGGGGCTGAAGGCACTGGTGAGGGTGATGTTGGCAGCAGAGCACTAACCTGCGTCTTCCAAGGTGGAGCACGAAGATGTGAGGGTGAATTAAAAGAAGCATCAAAAGAAGCGTGGCCAGCAGGGCGAGGGAGGGGATTCTGCCCCTCTGCTCTGGGGAGACCCCACCTGGAGTCCTGCATCCAGCTCTGGAGTCCTCAGCACAGGAAGGATGTGGACCTGTTGGAACTGGTCCAGCAGAGGGCCACTAAAATGATCAGAGGTCTGGAGCACCTCTCCTGTGAAGACAGGCTGAGAGGGTTGGGGGGATTCAGCCTGGAGAAGAGAAGGCTCTGGGAAGACCTTAGAGCCCCTTCCAGTCCCTCAAGGGGCTCCAGGAAAGCTGGGGAGGAACTAATGATCAAGGAGGGGAGCCATAGGGTGAGGGGGAACGGTTTTAAACTGATTGAGATGAGATGTGGGGAAGAACTTGTTTGGTGTGAGGGTGGTGAGAGCCTGGCCCAGGTTGCCCCGAGAAGCTGTGGCTGCCCCATCCCTGGAGGGGTTCAAGGGCAGGTTGGAGGGGGCTTGGAGCAACCTGGTGTGGTGGGAGGTGTCCCTGCCCAGGGCAGGGGGTGGCACTGGATGGTCTTTAAGGTCCCTTGAAATTATAACCATTCTATGATTAGAACCTACAAATGTCCACAAGCACCCTGTGGGATTGGCTGCTGAAGCCATGGCTGAGACTGGGGCACGGGGAGAAGCCCTCCCTCCCTGGGCTAACGGGTGACTGAAAGCAGAGCAATGGGTTGTGTCTGTAAAGCCTCAGTTGAACTGCTCTCACAGCATCGCTGATGTCCCTCCCTCCTGCCTTCGTACAGGGGACCCTGTCAGGAGGGCACTGCCCTGCTGCCACCCTTGTATGAGTGGTTTTTTTTTTCATAGCATATATAATTGTTGAGGAAGAAGGTGACATTTATTAATTTAACATCCTTACTATCAGAGACGTTTAAACCTCCGTCCTCCCAGCAAGACATTAACCCCATGTCCTGTTTTCCCAAGCTGGAACTGCATTTTAACCCAGCGTTTCTCACTCCCTGGAGACCCCGTCACATGCTGCCCCTCTTGCTGCAGCTGGTTCTTCACAAGGCAACACAAACCAGGTGGTTACAGGTGGCAATCACAGCTCTTTGGTGATGAGACACACTCTGGTGCTGCCTGATGCCCCGGCACAATCCCAACGTACCAGCCACCCCCAGCCCAACGCAGCCTCTGGGGGCCTTGTGTGCCCCTGGCTGAATTAACGCTGTTTAAATAGTTATTCTGATGTTCTCTCCTCTCTGCTCTGAACAAAGAGAATGGTTATTGCAGCCCCTGGAAGCAAAGAGTCCGTCCTGCATCGTGAAACCGTTTGAAGTGGCTTATAAAAAAAAACCAAAAGAAAATCCAATGAGAAGAAAGAGAGAGTGATGGGGAGATGGAAGGACTTTGAGCCAGGAGAAACCAGGGCATGGGGAGAGGGAAGAATGAGCCCTCAAGTATGCAGCTGAGAATAAATTTGGTGTCCTGCATCTCAGGCAAGAAGTGACAAGAAGAAGGTGTGGCTAGCTAGGACAGCCGGTGGGAAGCGTGGTTTCGACCAGAAATTCCTGGCTGGACCCAGAATGCCTGTCCTGCCTATGGTGGCACTGGGCTTCCCACCCAATGCTTGCCTTCAGTAACTGGACAGTTTCTTAAATGGTTTCTTCTTTTTCCATGCTCTTTGGATGCTCCTTGGGTTCCCCAGAAGCCCATGGCAGCACGTGGAGACTCAGCCTATGCCTCGGGGGGACCCAAAGCACACTTCGGACGGTTGGAGACATCAAGGCTCCTCTGCAGCCAAAGACAGTTGGTGCAAGGGGTGAAGGACAACAAGAGAGCATTGGCACCTACTGCCTCTTTTGAGGTGTGCTGCCACGATCGTGCACTGCCACGGTGACTCCAAGCGAGGAGGTATTTTATAAAGCTGGATCTTATCTCTGAGACACTGCTGGGCAGGATGCTGAGCACAGGGGCTCGCTGCTGGGCAAGCAGCACTGGTGGGGGACATCACCATAAGCCTTCCAAATTCAACTGCATGATGAAAAATAGCCGTTTTTGTTGACAGTCACAGCATAGGTGATTTTCAACATCTTTTCACCCTTGGCTTCCTCCCCGCCATGACCTGACTTGTAGACAACATTTCTGCTGGGCTCACAAACGAGGGCCCTCTCAGCGTTCTGTCCCAACCACTGTGGGATCTGTGTTTATTCCCTCGTGTGCTTTTCTGAATTGCAAGGGAAAGGTAATTCCTACCACCTCAGCTCTTGCTGGAATACAACCAGCCTGGTCGCACGGCGGAGGAGATGGGCAGTATGGAATGAGGACATGTATTTTCATGGAGATTTTCATGAGTAGAGTGGTAACTTGATTTTCATTCTGACCTGGGCTGAAACCTGGAAATACAGAAAATCTCCAAGAAAATAGCTCCCCTTGGCCCGCCAATCTATTTTCATCACCAAGGATGTTTGACTCCAGTTCTGTTTGAATCCAATAAACACAGAATAGAATCAAAATAAAATAAAAAGTAATTTGTAGGGAAAATTGAAGTAGGATGCTTCTATGCTGTCAGACTCCCTCTCTTAATTTTTATTTTTTTTCCTTGTATGCAACTTAAATGAAATTGCTGCAATTTTCTAGTATTTGTCAACCCAGCAGGCTCTGGTGAACTGTTCTGGCTAGCTCCAGCAACGCCCCGGAGCCAATGTTCTCTCTAGTCACAGGCAAGAGAAGACAGTGGTATCTCCCTGCAGCTCCAGGAGCCCATGTGGGATGAAACAGTGTCTTTATTCAGGGCAAAAACTCCCTCCATGAGCTGCTGCTCTCCCTGGGAAGCTCGCTGTGGCTTGGAGGCCAAAAAGCAGCTTTAGACCATTCGCTCATAAACAACGCAAAGCTTGGGGGCATTTGGCAAAACTTTAAATCACCCACACTCCTTTCTTCTTGCTCTGTTCACGCACTGTGCCTGAGCTGGCTTTTCTTCCAAGCCTTTGCTCCCCAGTAGAGCTGTGGACACTGTGGGCTCAGCAAATGGCTGGCTTCCTGGAGAGGTGGGATTGGAGAGAAGATGCAGGTCCAAGGCCATTGCATTGTCCTGCTGCTGTCAGGGCTGTCCCAGGCAAAGCCAGGCATCTAGGAACAAGGAATGAAGCCCCAAGGCGGGGTGGGCACCCTTCATCTCCATCACCAACCCTGTCCTGCTGTGTTTGGGCACCTCCACCTCACTCCTGGGCTCAGCTCCAGCAGCAAGACCAGCCTCAAATACCTGTAGCTCCAAGCTGGTGCGGAGCGGAGAAGGATGGAGAAGCCTAAATCCTCAGGTGAAGACCTAAGTCTTTTTCAAGACTAGTCAAAATAAAAGTTTGGTATATGAAGTGGCTAATAAACACTACAAATGTTATGCTATTTGCAGCAGGGAAGGTATGAGTAAAGCTGAGCAACCTCATGTTTTTCTGGTGGAAATCACTACCAGCCCAGTCTGCAGGACAGTGGGTCCAAGAGCATCTCTTATTTGAGGGTGAAAAGCAAGGGGGTGGTGGGTACTCCTGTCCTCGCCCCGAATCCTCAGGCAATTGGAGATAATTCCACTCATTTTCAGAAGGAATTAGCAGCGTAATTATCCTGGGGAGCTGGTCCTGACTTCCAAAAACCAGTGGGATTCATCTTCACACACCAGGAATGCAAAGAGAGAAATCCAAGACAAGGGGGGGAAAGAGACAATTCCAGGTCATGGTACATCCCATCCCAAGGCAGACATCTCAATTACTGTCAGGTGAAGAACTGGTTTTTTTATCCAGCAAGGTTAAAGGGAGTCTGGAGAAGCAGACCACGTAAAAGCCTTGAGAGCAGAGAGGGATGAAATGTGGGATTTTCAGAAGGCTGTGACTGTATCACCCTACTATAACATGCCAGTCAGGTCGTGGCTTAACAGACGATGCCAGGGAGACAGTGGCTGGATGGTTTTACCATCATCCTTGGAAGTCAGGCATTGAGCACAAGGCAGGTCTTCCAATGTGAATGCAGAAAAAAAAGCTAGTAAAAAAGCGGGTTCCTTAGCGTGGCTGATTTATCTGGACATTGTGTGCCTGGAAATTTCACTGCACGTAGGATAAACCTTCCTGGGACTGATGGATCATTTTTCAGTGACCTGACAGGGCTCCCTTTGTGTACAGGAATAATTTTTCACCATTCTTCAATCAGTTGGTGACATTGCACCCTTTGAAAATAAAAAGAGCTCGAGGCAGCAGCGGGCTGTAAGGCTGTGGCAAGTTACGCGACACTTCCACCTCCTGATGTGTTTCTTCTGCTTTGTTTTTCTTTAGAAATTAAGTAACATTCATTAATGACTCACAAAGGTTCAAAATCCAAATCTTCATAATTGAAGGGCAGTTGTTTGCATGTGCTGCCTTTACATTATGTTTGTGGTGCCATTTCTGAGCGTTTACTTGAATGGCAAATGTAAATTTGGGTGGCCGTGCTTTTAATTACCGGCTGGCAGCCCTGCAATGGTAATCACAAGTGACACGTTGTGCTCATCTTACATCCTTCTGCTAATTGCCCAGCCTTAATTATTGTAGCAGCAGAAAACAGTACCTGCCGCAAAGCTACTCGGAAAATCTGGTATTGATCAAATGGTGAGCTTTTTAAGATCTTGTCCATCTGGTGTGAGGTTCCTCCCTCCTGCAAATAGCCAAGGGAGGGGGGATCCGGGAGAGAAACGTGGGAAGGGAGCCCGGCATCTCCAAGGGACCGGGGCTGCGGAGGTTGGGACCGTGTGGACATCCTTCTGTTGGGTCTACTGGATTTGGGTACCATTGCTGGCCTCCTGTGGTGGCTTCTCAGCCCTGCCCATGTGGATTTTGCACCAGGGCTTGCCGGGGTGTCACTGTCCCCAGCACCGCTGCCGGCATGTCGGGGGGGAGTGGATCTGTTTGGAGATGGGTTGACACCAGCTTTCTGCTGGGATTGCAGTGGGTGTAACAAGGGATGCCAATGCCAGCTGAGCTGGAAGAACATTGTCTACTTGCATCTGTAGACTGTGAAAACCAGTCAGCGGTGGTTTGTGTGTCACCATTTCAGAGATGGTTCATTGGGCCTGAAGACTGAGGGGGGATCTGATCAACTCCTATCAATACTTAAAGGGTGGGTGTCAGGAGGATGGGGCCAGTCTTGTTTCAGTGGTGCCCAGTGACAGGACAAGAGGAAATGGGCACAAGCTTGAAGATAAGAAGTTCTATCTAAACATGAGGAGGAACTTCTTTCCTGTGAGGGTGGCAGAGCCCTGGAAGAGGCTGCCCAGGGAGGTGGTGGAGTCTCCTTCTCTGGAGACATTCAAACCCCACATGGACACGTTCCTGTGGGACCTGCTCTGGGTGACCCTGCTCTGGCAGGGGGTTGGACTGGATGATCTCCAGAGGTCCCTTCCAGCCCCATAGCATTCTGTGGGCTACTGAGCTGCCAGATAGACAGTAGCTCCTGCAGTTCTTGCTTAGATTTGTCCTCACCGTCCTTTTGGACCTTTTTTACGATCAGCATTACAGGCAGGAGATCTGGACCTCCAAAGGCCAAGTGCAGCATTGGCAGACCCCACCACCCGGGGGCAGAGCCACCTTCCCTTCCCAGCCCATGCCAACAAGCAGCCAGCTCACAGTGCAGCAGGATCACCAGCATCAACCCAAATGTGGCCCAAAATGCCCCAGGAAATCCTGGGCATGGGGGCAAACAAAGTATTGCCAGAAGGCAAAAGGTTTTGAGATGCCATATGTGAACAGGGGACATGGTCAAAATACAAGTTCATTTTCCAGCCATCCTCAAGAACTCATTTGCAGGGTCTCCAGACATTTCTGTGTTCAGCAGCGGTGGCCGGGGTGTCAGGCAGGAGCCCCCAGGGGACCTTCCAGGTGCAAAGGGATGATCTGGCAAATGCCAGAGGCAGAGGGAGGGAGGGAGGGAGCGCCCGAAGATCTGGAGAGATCGGGGGAGAGCAGTGATGACAGCAAGGTTTGATATTAATTGAAGGTTGCTCTTGCGGAGAGACCTGAGAAAAATTGTGACAGCACGAACCCGGGTGTATGTTTTACCTATTGGACATAGGTGGGAGGCTTCATCCCAAAGGATTTCTATTAAACATCCAGATACTCCCCCCCAGGCTGGTGAATCAAGTAAGAGTGTCAAGACTGTTACTTCCTCTATGTCCAAAACGAGATTCCCCTTCTTCTTCCTTCCCTTCCCTTCCCTTCCCTTCCCTTCCCTTCCCTCACCTCACCCTTGGAGCGAGACAAAGTAAAACCCAACCTTTGAAAAAATAATCTTATGCGTTTAACACTGCATTTCTATAAATTACAGTGCTGTGATTTTTGAAGTCTAACATTTAGCAAAATTTATGATGGTTAGGGAAGCAATAACCACAGCTCACTGCAAACCTGGATTCCCTGCTTTCCCTGAGATATCCTAAGTTCTGCTAGTCCAGATGGCAAAGTTTAAATCTGTCACCCATCTGGGATGAAATATTGCTGAAGCTCAGAGCAGTGAAGTCCTCTGGCCCATATTTTAGCACAGTGGGAGGAAGCAAACATCTCTTGTTCGCTCTCTTTTGGTCTACATGGTAACCTGGAAGTCTGAAATATTGGCCATTTCAACAGAAATGGATTAGTGGTCAAGGCAGGGATGAAGAGAAAATGAAGCACTCTTCATTCCAAGATGTATGAAATGAATTGATTTGCATTATGGCTGCTGGCACCACTTAAGTAGGATCCGTGCAGCTAAACAGAGAGATTTGTGTCATCTCTATTGCCACGTGTCACCGTGGGTAACACACAGGGTCTGCTCCCCCTTGACCAGTGTCCCCTGTGAATCCAGAGGGCCAGGTCCTGGTGAAGGGGCAAGTTCTGGTGAAGGGCCAAACTGGTCCGAGGTGGGAAGGTGGAAAAATTCGCCTGGTGAAAGCTGCACAGGAAGAGCTCAGCTGAGAGACTTGGGGAAGGTCTGAAAAGATGTCCTGGGGGTGGTGGTGGGAGGGTGCTGAAGCTCTGGTGGGTTTGCCTATGCCAGCAGAGCACCACCACCACTGAGGTTTGCTGTTTCATAGCACACCAGTGTTGGGCTGCGTGGCTGAGTCTGAATCATAGTTTTTTTTTCATTTATCACTTTTATTTTTCTTTTTTGTAGAAAAAAGTTACAGTTCCTACAGCTAAAGTTCCCTCCCTTCTTATTACACCCACCTATAACCCGAATACTGATTCTAGCCTTTTCTTCCCAACATCACACCTTCTAAATCCTGACTCAGTGCCCCGCTCTCCGTGAGACTGGCATAAAATATCCCATTTGGGGATCTTGTTATTTGTTTTGGGGTTCTTGAAATCTGCAGGGTACTCTCCAAATACCTTTTCAAGTTTTCCCTTCTGCAGCCTCAGGAGAAGAACTTAATGAGTTTCACCCACATTCCCATGGCTCCAGACTCTGGGGCTTAACTGAAAATCTTCACTTCTTGTGAAAATCTCGATGAAGTCTGTAGAGCTGGCACCAACGGCACTGAAGGCTCACTCTGACATCTGTGACACTCCACATTTCCCACAGACCTACTCCATGTCCCACTTGTCCCTCCAGTTCCCTCCATCCCTTGGTCACTGCTCCACTGTACAGGTTCTCTTGGGGCTTCCCACCTCCTTGGTCCACCTCCATTTCTTGCCCCAAGGGCTTCCCGCTTTCTTCCTTTCTTCTCTCCCTTTCCCTGTCATTCTTCTCTTGCCCTTTTCTCCAGTGTCTTCCCCTAAATTGTCCCCGTGCCCTGTTCTCCTCCAAGACCCAATGTATGCCACTGTGCCCCACTCTTACTCCTGGAGAAGCTGGGCTGGAGGGGAGCGCCCCTCTTGCTTCAAGACCTCTGATGTGGTTAAAACAGCTACTGGCCACCTTTCTCCAATGACCTCCAGGTCCAACACTGCTCACAGGTTGGGCCATGTCCAGGCAGAGTCCTCCAGTGCCATGGCCAACCTTGAGTCTGCTGCTGATGCCTCTTGCTCTCTTCCCTGCAGCCCACCATTGAGGGGCATTGCAAAGGCCAAGAAGCCCATGGGAGGAGAAGACCTCAACATGCAGCAGTGGCCCAGGGCTGCCTGGGGGTAGGGGCCAGGGGGCTGTGGGGTGGGAAAATCAGCCCCAACCAGAAGGCAAAAAACCCATCCAAAAAAAAAAAGGATGCCACTGCAGGGAGGTGGTGTGATGGTGACCTACCTGTACAACGCGGAGGCTGCTCTCTTCAGCCCTTTAGGTCTGTTGGGTTTAGGTTCCCCGGCCATGTTGATATCTGCAAGGAACAGACACACAGCTGTGACAGGGCATGTCCACGCTCACCGGTACCCGGCCATGGGGCGAGGGAGGCTGAGCACAGAAACAAATATCTCCCACCACATCTCCCACCACATTCCCATCTGCTTTTAAGCATGTCTGGGGCCCTGCTGGGCCTCCACAAGAAGGCAAGCCTCTTCCTTCTCCTTTACAGAATCACAGAATCACAGAATCGTAGTGGTTGGAAGGGACCTCAGAGATCATCGAGTCCAACCACAAAAAAACCACAAAAACCACAAACCACCACCCACCACCTAAACACACAACAACAACCACCAAACCAAAAACCATCACCCACCCACACAGCACCCCACCACAAACCAATAATCTTGGGCACTAGAGCATGCCCTGAAGAACCATGTCTACACGTTTCTTAAATACCTCCAGGGATGGTGACTCCACCACCTCCCTGGGTAAAGAAATGTTTCCTAATATCCAACCTGAACTTCCCCTGGCGAAACTTGAAGCCATTACCCCTTGTCCTATCATCTGTAACTTGGAAGAAGAGACCGACCCCCGTCTCTCTACACCCTCCTTTCAGGTACTTGTACAGAGCAATAAGGTCTCCCCTCAGTCTCCTCTTCCCCAGACTGAACAACCCCAGTTCCCTCAGGTGGCTTTACAAAGCCACTAACCACTTATTTTTCAAGTCCACGCCCCGCACGTGGTCTAACCTCCGCACACAAATTCAGGATAGGCTGCTCAGGAGAACCTGGTGCTGGTATGATATGGCACGGACAACATATAGAACTGCTGCATGCTGCAAACTGCTACCAATTTATTCCTTGCTCCTTCTGGAATAAAAATGAGTGCTAAGGGCGAGCCAGCTGGGCACCACCGTGGACTGGGCTGCGTTAAAAGCTGCCCGGGGTGCGGGCACACGCCGGCAGCCACCCCCAGCTCATCTCAGAGGAGCATCTTCTACCAGGGGAGGTGAGAATGAGCTCTTCTAATCCGCCAGGGAAATTTCTCTCCTCGGCCTCAGTGCTAAATGTGCTTTTGACGTGAGAATAAAGTGATAGAGGCAATTTCACGGAGGCTGCCGAGAGGCTGGCAGTCTAATGCTGAGTGTGGCCCTAGAGCCACAGAGAAGTGAGCATGAGGCTTCACCTCCTCCTCCTTTCTTTGCCCAGGAGCGAGCAAATTCCCTGCTGACTTTTCTGATCAGTCCTAAACTTTTTCTGTACTTCAGGCCCATTCTGTCCAAACAGGTGTCAGAGCTCCAGGCATGCCACATCTGAGCCAAGCAAGACAGGGTTTCCTTACATAGTCCACACTGGAGTGCACCTGGGCTGCCCCACAGCACTGGGACAGGTCATAGATTCATAGAATCATAGAATTGTCCAGGTTGGAAGGGACCTTCAAGACCATCTAGTCCAACCATCAACCTAACTCTGATACAAACCATGTCACCAAGCACTATGTCAACCTGCCTTTTAAATCCCTCCAGGGATGGTGCCTCAACCCCTTCCCTGGGCAGCCCGTTCCAAGGCTTCATAACCCTTTCTGTGTCAAAATTGTTCCTAATATCCAATCTAAACCTCCCCTGGGGCAACTTGAGGCCGTTTCCTCTTGTCCCATCACCTGTTCCTTGGGAGAAGAGACCGACCCCCCCTGGCTACACCCTCCTTTCAGGGAGTTGGAGAGAGCGAGAAGGTCTCCCCTCAGCCTCCTTTTCTCCAGGACGAACAATCCCATCTCCCTTAGCCTAAGCTTGTTCCTCAGCTGGCTGAGGTCCTTGTGCTAAGCCTTTGGCATGAGTTACAGCCTTGGAGGTGCAGGTGGATTTGAAGGTCTCCATCTGGGGCTCAGGGTTCATGGATCTGTTAGCGCAAACCAAGGTATTTAAATTCTAGGCTCTTCAGGACTTGCAGGATGTGCTATGAACTTCAGCAGGTTTAAGCTTAGCATTTGCTGCTTTTTTCATGCTGCATGAGGGGACTTCATGAAGAAATGTGGACAGGCTGGTCCACTCACCATCAAAATAAAGAGCTTGCAAAGCCATGCAAAGTGAACACTGTGCTGACTTCATTTCTAACCAAGAAGATCCATCTTCAGGAGCACAAGAAAGCTGCAGCACCACTGAAGCCACCTGAGCAGGAGGAGCACAGCCTGCAGAGGTGGGACACGGCTCTGGAGGAGCACTGACATGCTCCCACTGCCCCAAAGTCTTGCTGTGCAACTCCCCAGGCTGCCTTTTGGGGTCTAGCAAGAGACACCATTCCTACTGAAGCCGGATAAACTCGCATCATGAATGTGGTTATCAGGGGGTCACTGAGCCATTACATTGGATGTTCCTCTGGAGGCACGTTCAGATCAGAGCGTGTTTTCTCCACTCTCCATCCTCCCATCCTCAGCTGCTACGGGGGCCACAGAAGAGCGTGGAGGCTGAAGCCTAGCAAGGACACGCATGGCCATAGCCCAGGTCCATGGACAACTGCTGCCAGAACATTATGGATGCGGTTGCCTCTCTGAGTCTGTTGAGCACTACAGTGCTTCTGGCAATGCTGTTGGCTGTAAAGGAAGAGAGGAATAAATGCTTCCTTGGTGCATCCCAGAACACACCCCTGCTCAGCTCCAGTTCCCTTGTCCTGAGCCCTTTTTGCTGCCAGGGTGCATCTTGCCAGCTGCCAGTTGCTTTTCTTGCAAAACGGAGAGCTAATAACAGCACCACGCTGATTAACACCCTTCAAGGGAGACATGACGAAAGCCCAGTGGTGGATAATGACAACAATTAGCTCAATTTGCTGGCATGCATCGCCAGAAATAGCACCACGGAGCCTTCACCGGTGCGTGCAGACAGACCAGAACGTTTATACTTGCAACCTATAGTGGTGATGAGCAGCCAGATCCCTCGGGACCCCCTTGAGAGTGAACGAGGAGAGACAAGAGCTCAGCCTGCACATCAGCCTGGGCAGATTTTGCTTCTCATTCTCATTCTGAGAATGAGAATTCTGAGAGGACGAGGGACAACGGGCACAAGTTGGAACAGAAGAGGTTCCACTCAAATATGAGGAGAAACTTCTTCACGGTGAGGGTGACAGAGCCCTGGAACAGGCTGCCCAGGGAGGGTGTGGAGTCCCCTTCCTTGGAGATTTTCAAGACCCGCCTGGATGCTCCTGACTAACATGCTCTAGCTCTAGGCAATCCTGCTTCAGCAGGGGAGTTGGACTAGATGATCTCTATGGTCCCTTCCAACTCTAAAAATTCAGTGAAATTCTGACGCCCTCCCTCTGCATCGCTGAATCCGTGTGCCCAAGGCAGTACCTATCCCCCCTGCTCCCATCCTGGCACCTTTGCCCACCCTGGACAGGGAGGTGGTGCTATGTCTAGCCAACATGGCAGGGTCAGGTTGGATCCAGCTTCCAGTGCAGAGGTCCCCCACTGGAATGGTCTCTGCCTCCTGCGATGTCTGGGCTGTCTGGGAGCCTTTGGAGAAAGCACAGAGGTCGCCAGGACCTGCCTGGAAGAGCAGTCCATGCCCCAGCACGTGACGGGCTACAGCCATGGTTTCAAACACCTTCAATCACCTTTGGGTGTAATTAGTATCTTGCTGGTCAGTTAAAATGCAAGTTTGATGGTCTGCATATCTGGTGACAAAGGAGGAAGAAGAAGAAAAAAGAAAAAAGAAAAAAATGGAAGAAATGCTATTTCACTGCTCAGCTTGAGAGCTGACCTTAGCTGGGAGATAAGGGCTAGAATGATGTTGCTGCTTTGCCCGTTCATTCTGGTCTGTGCTGGAAATTGTTACCTGCAAACCATCTCTGGCCCTGGGGAGCAGATGGAGTGTGAGCCCTCCAGCCCCCACAGGTACATGTAACTGTCCCATGGCAGCGCAGCCCGCTCTTCTCCTGGAGGTGCATGGACCACTGAGAGCCAAGTCAGTGATGTCAGTTTTTCTGCAAGGACCAGCTTTTCTGTGACCTATTAGAAAGAGCTGCAAGAGCCTTGATGGAGGCTGGGGGGGATATGAGATCTTCTGACTACGCGCCCGACAGACGAGTCGGGCACAGAACCCACAGCACATGCAAAACTTGGGTTAAAAAAATGCGGTCCCTCAACATTTCCTAAACATTGGTGTAAATTCTCTTTCCCATCTGAGCGGCGGAGGCAGGAGAGGCAGCTTCACTCCAACGGTGCCGTGCGTGGCCGCTGCGACCGAGCCATCACGGCCAATGCTTGTGGTGCTGGGGTGGCTCTGGATTCGGTGGGGGACGTTGTCCTGTCCAGTGATCACCTGCTGGCACTGGGGCCTTGTGCCATCAACAAGCTGCAGGCTGGGGGTACTTTGCCCCTACACTGGGCACTGCCTTGAGTCAGTGTGGTGAGTCCCCATGAGCTCCTGCCATGTCGAAGGGTTGCCTGGCAGTCATGGTTTGCAGCCCTTCCAGAGGATCGCGTGGTGGCACCCTGCAGAAGTTACTGGTTGGAGCTGCCCACCTTCCTGTTGCCTGCCTGGGGAGGGAAGTTTTCTCATCACCTTGAAGGATTCCCCCAAAACACTGCCCATGAACAGTCTCTTCAGCAACTTGTCTGCCATGTACTCTGTCTGTCCCATCCTGTCCTTCCTCTCCACATTCCTGTGTGACCATCACCTCCTGGTTTTCAAGGAGGAACTTTCTACCTTGTTTTGTGCAAAGACATTTTATAACCACGTTGCTCAGCTCTTCTTCTCTGCAGGGCCCTCCAGAAAGGTGGAGGGGGGGCATGGTCCCCGTGTGTATACTGGTCTAGGAACAGCAAAAAAAAAGCCCCCTCCAGAAAGGTGGAAGGGGTGCATGGTCCCCGTGTGTATACTAATCTAGGAACAGCAAAAAAAAAGCTTGCTGAGCTCTTCTGTGGTAAGACTGGCCCACGAAGGGAAGGCAGATGAAAGGGAACTGAATTTGCACCTCATCCAGTACATTGGTGGATGAGAAGCTCAACATGAGCTGGCAACGTAGCTGGCAGCCCAGAAAGCCAACCATGCCCTGGGCTGCATCCCCAGCCCCGTGGCCAGCAGGGAGAGGGGGGGTTCTGCCCCTCTGCTCCACTCTGGGGAGACTCCCCTGCAGTGCTGCCTCCAGCTCTGGGGCCACCAACAGCAGAAGGACATGGAGCTGTTGGAGCGGGGCCAGAGGAGGCCACGGAGATGCTGGGAGGGCTGGAGCCCCTCTGCTGGGAGAACAGGCTGAGAGAGTTGGGGGGGTTCAGCCTGGAGAAGAGAAGGCTCTGGGGAGACCTTCGAGCCCCTAAAGGGGCTCCAGGAGAGATGGGGAAGGACTCTGGATCAGGGAGGGGAGTCATAGGATGAGGGGGAATGATTTTAACCTGAAAAGGGGGAGATGGAGCTGAGATGTGGGGAAGAACTTGTTTGGTGTGAGGGTGGTGAGAGCCTGGCCCAGGTTGGCCAGAGAAGCTGTGGCTGCCCCATCCCTGGAGGGGTTCAAGGGCAGGTCGGAGGGGGCTTGGAGCAACCTGGTGTGGTGGGAGGTGTCCCTGCCCAGGGCAGGGGGTGGCACTGGGTGGTCTTTAAGGTCCCTTCTAACCTGAACCATTTTGTGATTCTGTGATTCTATGTACAGGCCTCCCAGCTACAATGGAGTTCTTTCCTCTTGTTGGTATGCCAGACCTCTGGGACCAGCACTGAGAAGAGAGTAAGAGGTTCCCATCACGGTAAACCTTTCATCTCTCTCTTTGGCTAAGTGGATAAGTGTTGCCCATGTCCTAGCTGCATCTCCTGTATCTGGAGCATCACAAGGAGCTCCTTTGCTCCCCAAGGCCCTTTTCATCATACCTATGGACTCTGCACACCTGGACGTTGCGTGGGCTGGAAGCATCCCTGGCACACTGTCCTTTGCCTGGGTCTGCAGCTCTGCTCTCTGCGCCTTACGAGCAGTGAAAAGAAGTTTCTGGTATTTGAATACACCAGAGACAGAGACAGCACTCTCTCCTGAGTCTTTAAGGTCCCTTCTAACCTGAACCATTTTGTGATTCTGTGATTCTATGTACAGGCCTCCCAGCTACAATGGAGTTCTTTCCTCTTGTTGGTATGCCAGACCTCTGGGACCAGCACTGAGAAGAGAGTAAGAGGTTCCCATCACGGTAAACCTTTCATCTCTCTCTTTGGCTAAGTGGATAAGTGTTGCCCATGTCCTAGCTGCATCTCCTGTATCTGGAGCATCACAAGGAGCTCCTTTGCTCCCCAAGGCCCTTTTCATCATACCTATGGACTCTGCACACCTGGACATTGCCTGGGCTGGAAGCATCCCTGGCACACTGTCCTTTGCCTGGGTCTGCAGCTCTGCTCTCTGCGCCTTACGAGCAGTGAAAAGAAGTTTCTGGTATTTGAATACACCAGAGACAGCACTCTCTCCTGCAGATCAGATCCAGCATGCAATGTTTTATTTCAGGCCGCTGTGCCAGATGCAGGGTGGGAATGGGCTGCAAACCCCTTTCCTGGGTGTCCAACGCCCACGGCCCGCAGCCGGCTGGGAAATAAACATTTTTCATTAAAAATAGTCCTCAGTTCCAATTCTCAGCTTGGAGCTGGTGACAAGAGCTTCTCAGCGTGTGACACTTCAGAGCAATCTGCACAATCAGGATGCAGCTGGGAGCAGCTGGGCTGGCTTTATTTGTTATTTCTTATCACACAGCAGCGCAGAGGAGAGACTTCCATGCGTCTGGAGCGGGGGGTGTGTTATCTCATTTAGCATCAGCTGGCTGAAGTTATCTGAACTGGTCCGAGTTAGACTGTCTCCTCTCTTGACATGCAAAGTTATCTGAACTGGTCCGAGTTAGACTGTCACCTCTCTTGACGCAGCTGGGAGCAGCTGGGCTGGCTTTATTTGTTATTTCTTATCACACAGCAGCGCAGAGGAGAGACTTCCATGCGTCTGGAGCGGGGGGTGTGTTATCTCATTTAGCATCAGCTGGCTGAAGTTATCTGAACTGGTCCGAGTTAGACTGTCTCCTCTCTTGACATGCAAATGGTAAGGCCTGGTCCAGAAAGGGAACCGGGCAGTGCCTTTTCCCACCCTTTTTCTTCCCCACCAGATCAAGGACAAGACATGGGATGATTCAGAACTGTGTTTTAGCTTCTACAATCGCGGCCCAAAACATGGTTTTGGGCCACAATGTCACAGCCCTGAGGGCACTCATACGCCTGAATGGCCATGACCAGCCTCACTCCTGACCCCTGCCCATGTGGGACCCAGGAGCCTTCAGCCCCTACCCAAGCTGTGGTGTAGGAACGCGGGTCTCCAGCTCTGTCACAGCCATGCCTGTGCCTGGCCATGGACCTTGCTGATCCTGACCCTCTGGCTGACTTCCCAGCCTGGCCCCAGACCTACCTTGTCACTATGGACCTGCTCAGTCATCACTGGGTTGTGTCTGACCTGCTCACCATTACTGAACCCAACCCTGATCTGCAGATCAAGGTCCCAGTTTGACCTTGGTGTCCAGCCCCTTTCAGTTCAACCATCATTGGGGAGAAACCAACCCGTGTTGCACCCGGACACCCAAGTGGCCAAAGAGAAGACTCACCCAGTGTCTGGCCAGCAAGCACGCGTCCGTTCTCGCCCAGGACAGCAGCCCGCGCGTGCCTCTCGTTGGAGTACTGTACAAAGGCATAGCCCTTGTGAACGGAGCAGCCCACCACGCGGCCGTACTTGGAGAAGATGGTCTCCACGTCAGACTTCTTGACCACGGCTGTGTTGAGATTGCCAATGAAGACTCTGGAGTTGATGGACTTGGGGTCATTCTTGTTCGTGATGTTGCTCGTCTGCACCTTCAATGACATCTTGAACACCTGAAGGAACAAAGCTGGAGTCAGGGAAGCGGGAAGGGAATTGCTGGAGTCTTAAAGAAAGGGGTGAGGGAACCAGTTCCTCAACTTCAACTGGTCACAGTTGGGGGGATCCCATCTCGAGAGAACCCCTGTGTGTTGGGGAAGGGAATGTCGCAGCCAGTGCAAAACTTTCACTGGAACCCCATTTATCAGGCTGATGCTCTGGGTGTGAGCTGGTTGCTTTTGGGGGCCAAATCAAGATTTAAATAAAGTTGACATCCGAGTAAAAGCTTTAATGCTGTTCTAGGAAAGCTTTTACCTCTCTGTACTTTACAATCCAAAGGACTGCTCTTTTTAAGGCAGTTTGCATTCAGCACCTTTGTTCATGCCCACCTTTATGGGCTTTCTCCCTCTGAGCACCTCCCCGCACAGCCCAGCCCTCACCACGCACAGGGACAACCTGGACCCCCAGATCTGCACTTGTAGCTGGAAAAGGACTTGATTTTTCTGGATGCAAACGGAGAGACTTAAGTGGTGAAGCAGCCCATGTGCTCCTGTCTGGTATCTGCTCTCTGCTGCCTGCCCTGCGCATGAACACGCTGGGCCCTGAGCTGAATTCTGTGCAAACAGGAGGTGTCACTGTTAGCTTGGGAATCGCCGAGCCATCAACCACATCAGCTGGAAGCCACGGCATCCCACAGCTGCAAGGTGTGATCCTCCAAGTTTCTTGCCTGGGGTGTTTCACGGGCAGCCCCCCCGAGAGTAGGTTTCACCTCTGAGGAAATGGTGTGAAATTAAAGCCGGTCTGGCTGCCCATCAGGCTGCCGGCTCACATTTCTGCAGCAAAAATCACAGCTGCCCAAAGACATCGGTTTGATTTTCATCTTCCAGAAACAGAGGGGATGCTTTGGGACCACCGTTGTGTGCTGCCTACACAGTGTGTGGTATTTACCTGGGAAGAGTCAGCTCAGAGCTGTGGGATGTATTTTATGGTGTGTGTTGAGGTGCTGCTCTTCCCCAGCCCCTTCCAGCAGCGCCCACAGGTACTCCCAACACCCGGGATGATGCCACCAGGGTTTCCACAACTCCAGGTGGTCACCAAGCCCGGCATAGGGGACACATTGCCACCACAGGGCCATGGTGTCCCCTCCCTGGTAGTCCCCAGCATCTGCCTGGCTTTGGGGTTTTGGCTCTCTGGGCTCAAAGTCCAGGTGTGTCTGAGCAGCCTGGCCCAACGGGACATGGTGGCACCTGCCTGACTGCATGGACAGGCAGGAGGAACACTCTCTTCCTCAAATAAAAAATAGTTCTCAAATAAAACATACCCCATCTCAGTTTTTCCATCCCATCTGTGGAGAGTTTTAACACTGATACCCCAAGCCCCAGCTTAGGAAAACACGAGGTTTCTGTTTGCCCAAACCCTTCCCGAATTCTAACGAGTCCAGAACTGTTTTATTTAGAATCATCTGAATCTCTGACCAGCTGTTTGCAGCTGCAAACACCAATTCCATCAGGGCACTGAGCTCCTTAAGCCTCTCTAGGAGGGATGTGGGTTAAGCTGCCTCTGTGCACAGAAATAGAAAGGGCTGGTTGGAGGATTCAGGTAGGATGAGGAGTGGGGGCGGAATAAAACATGTGTTTTCCCCCCAGATCTAGTGGGCTGCCCTGTCTCAGCGGGTGCAACATGAGCCAGCTCTGCTGCTGTCAATGGATCCTCCACTCCGTGGCTTTTTATTAAACAAAAAACACCAGGATGAAGATCTCAGGTGGGCACAAAGGCACCAGATGGACCTCCACTTGGAGAAGGACATCTCCCAAGGCATTGCCAAGGGTATGACCTTGGCCACCATGGAGGTGGTGGGGTATATGGAAACCTGTGCCTCTCCCAGGTCCCTGCTCCCCCAAACCCACCTTGCACCCTCCTTGTCTGGTTCCTGTGACCTTCCCCCACTGCTTCCTGCAGCTGGACCAGCGTGTGCTTGTCCCCTGCACTGTCTCCTCTCCTCCCCCTGGGATGCTGGGTCCCCCCAACCCAATAAAGGCTGTGGCTGTAGGAGCTGGAGGCAGAAGAACTAACTCTCAGCACCCATTGAGGGGACCAGTGATGGAGTGGGCAGCTCAGCATCACCCCTCCTTTGGCAGAGCCTCTCCCTTGGCTTCCTGGTTGAAGCCCTGGCTCTGAGCATCGGGGCCATCTCGGGACACTGCAGGTCCATGCAGGAGACGTGCCTGTGGCTGACGAGCGATGGGACGGGGCCACCAGATGGCAAGCTCAAGGTCAGGCAAGGTGACAGCCGCGCCGCTGGGAAGGACTTGGGAGGAAGCCAACGAGGACCGGACATCTCTGCTGATGGGATACTCTCCCAGTGCCATCTGCCCACTGGCTGCTGTCCCTGCCAGGGTGGGGAGCAAGGCTTCGGCAAGGAGCTCCAAGGATGAGGAGCTGGGTCTCTGGGCTTCAAGCACAGCATCGCTCTGAGATTTCAGTCACCATCAGCAATGCCCTCCATCTAGCAAGCAGCCTGCATGGCTCTCGTTTAGCAAATTATAAAACACTCAGCACCGGGGTGTTCAAACCCCTGTGCAAAGTGCTCTTCTGCTGTCCCCACACAAGCCTGGTGTCCCCTGGAGAAAGCAGCCTCCCTTGCCTTCTCTCCCCTTCACTTAGGGTTTCTTCTTACGCACAGCATTCATTTCGCATCGCTTATTGGGCCCCTCACTGCAACCACTGGAAAGGACATTTTAATCATGGCATATTAATATTTCATACTCCGCCTCGCTGCCTTCCAGCAGACCTCCTTGCGCTGCGCCCAGATTAAAGCCAGAGGAGCATCAGCCACCTCGGCTCAGTGTCCCTTCCCCGTCACACAGCACGGCTCGCCAGCACCACGTCTTCTCAAGCCCCTGTCTCTTTGACACGCCACGGAGAAAGCAGTGGGCATGAGTCAGAGCAGAGCATCTCGTGATACCCCTGATTTAGAGGAACATACAGGGCAGAGATACACATGGCTGGTGTGGAGGAATACTCTCATAACCACACTGTCTTCAGCAGATGCATTTTCACAGCTGTTCTCTCAGCTTTCGTCCCCCAACCCACAACTGCAACAAAACACACTCAAGTTGGGAAACAGAACAAGCCAAAACGCAACTAGTAATGACACTCAGATATAAATAAATGAATGTATAAAGGGGTCCTTCATCTGTAGGACCTCAAAGAACACCAAGGACAGATTAGTATGATTATCCCTGTTTTCCGCAAGGGAAACAGAAGAGGTCTGGGGTGGGGGAGTTTGTGCCACTGAGCTCAGCAAAGCTTACAGAAACATCACAACACCACCTTCTGCTTCCAATCGCTCCCAAAGACAAATGCACTTAAGGATGAGATTGTCAGAAGTTCCTTCCTTATTTCCCACCTGTGTGTCCCATGTCATAGAATCACAGAATGGTTCAGGTTAGGAGGGACCTTAAAGATCATCAATTTCCATTCCCCTGCCCTGGGCAGGGACACCTCCCACCACACCAGGTTGCTCCAAGCCCCCTCCAACCTGGCCTTGAACCCCTCCAGGGATGGGGCAGCCACAGCTTCTCTGGGCAACCTGGGCCAGGCTCTCACCACCCTCACACCAAACAAGTTCTTCCTCAGATCTCATCTCAATCTCCCCTCTTTCAGGTTAAAACCGTCCCCCCTCCTCCTATGGCTCCCCTCCCTGATCCAGAGGCCCTCCCCAGCTTTCCTGGAGCCCCTTGAGGGACTGGAAGGGGCTCTAAGGTCTCCCTGGAGCCTTCTCTTCTCCAGGCTGAACCCCTCAACTCTCTCAGCCCCCCCTCCCAGCAGAGGGGCTCCAGCCCTCTGCGTGGTGCAGGTGCTTGTCCTAGCAGGGACCCTGGAGCCCTGTAGGGGACAGTAGCTGAGCCACACCATGGTGACCCCAGAAACATATCTGTTTTCACCCAGATGTCCCAGAGCTCCCCAACCATCCTTTACCATCATCAAAACCTGCCTGGACACGTTCCTGTGCAACCTGCTCTGGGTGACCCTGCTTTGGCAGGGGGTTGGACTGGATGATCTCCAGACGTCCCCTCCCACCTCTGCCAGTCTGTGATGCTGTGATCATCCCTGGAACCTGACTCTGCCACAGATCCCAGGCCCTCAGCTCTCCGTGGATTTATCGCCCCGCTATGCAAGGCACAAGGGAACCTGTTTGCCACCAAGAGGCTGAGAAGAAAATACAACGTGGGATTAACTGAGCTTTGTACCCCAAAAACTCCAGGACACCCCCCCGTGCCACTTATTAGGGTTGGTGAGGACCACTCTGAGCTCCCCAAAACCCCAATGCTGGAGGAAAGGCTGTTCCTGCTGCTCGTGCCCCTGGTCTGGACACCCACCACCAATGTCATGCTCCTTGCTGCCACTAACGCTCAGGAATCCCTGAAAAATATTGATATTCAATCCGGTAACAGCCCGAGGCCGGAGCTGGTTTACTTGATAAGCTATTTTTCCTCCCTGCTTTAAGTGCCTCGCTTCACAGATTAGCTGTTTAATTGAGAGCCAGGTGTCTGAGAACCCCAAGGGCTTCAGTCTTAGTGACGAACTGTCAAAGGCGGCGGCGGCAAAGAAAAACCACCGCGTCCCACCACCCTCTCCCGTGGAAATCACTCTTTATTTCAGCGTGACAGCAACAGGCAGCCGGGCTGTTATTCTCCTCTTATCACGCTTCTTCACAAAACAGGGAGACACGGCTTTTCACCCCGTCCCCATCCAGTAACAAGTCTTCCCAACTTGTTGGCTTTCCACCGGGAGCCAGATGACAAATGAAGATGTCCTGCAGGGGTCAAATCCTCTCCCTGCCAAGTTTGGGGAAAATACGGCATTTTGGGGTGCCAAAAAAAGCACCGGGAGAGCTGTGATGGATGTCACAGCCCCTGGTGTGGCTGCGATGCTTCGGTGTGGTCCTGGTGATACTGCGGTGATGCTGGGTGGTCCAGGGCTGGTGGCACCCCTGCTCACACGCCGGAGGAAG